GCTCCACTCCTGCTGATGAAGCCACTGTTAAGAGGAACTAATTATCCCGGACTCACCTCAGAGAATTTGTGCTGGGCAAACACCAAAGTTACACAGCACATCCAAATCTGCCAATCAGAAGGCTACCAGAATGGAAAAACGACTGTAGCTGTATGGGCTGCAATGAAATCCAGGGTCACTTCCTGCACAACAGCACTACACAACAGTGGGGCTTTTTTGTGTTAGGAGAAACATCTCCTTGGAAACTGCTAAGGTTTCTCCATCTATTTTCTACCTTATGAATGATGAAGATATTAAATTACTTCAAAGTTGGCACTGATTAATATCCCAATTAACAACCCTGAAATCCCTTACAATACTGTTCCATGTATGTTTCCTAAATATTACTGGAACATGCTAGGAAGAACTAAGATAATACTGACCATGTCCACAATCTGCCAAATGAGCAGCTTTGAGTTTGCTTAGAAAGTGCTGATGAGTAAGCAAGCTTGATAGAACTGCTTAGCAGAATTAAGAATTGCTTAACAGAAAACCAATTTGAGCTCACACTTACCAAATGACATCCTAAAACTAACAGAGAAAAAGGGAAGAAGGTATTTTTAAAATTTTCTAACACGTTAAGACAAACTTGCCTTTATTTTACACAATAATATAACTCTGCAGATAGAGACAACACTGTAACTGCATTCAAATGTTTTTATAAAAAGACTTTTTGGATTCTTGGTCCTGCAAGCTCTGTTTCAAAATGGTAAATAATTCTATTTCTAGCTTAATAATAAATGATTTTTCTCAGCTGAAACCTGGAACCAAACTTCCATCATCAAATGTGCTAAATAAAAGATCATCCAGCTGACTCGCAGAGTGACTCTTTCCTACAGAAACCACATACAAGTCTGATTCACATCCTATATGTATTTGTACATTAGATTTGTACATTTCAAACATTCAGACACTTTCAGATAAGAACACAGTAGTGTTATCACAAAAATCTGAATTCCTCTTAAAATAATTTAGAAATGTTAGCCTTGAGCAATAGATGTGCTCTCGTGTGCAAAGAAGTAAAAACACATACTTGAACCCAAGATTCTCCAGTTCCTGAACTGTTATCTCCAAGAGAGTAAACCTCTAGAGTACATCTCCACATGACACATTTATCTAAAGTGGCTGCACTCATATAATGATGGCTTTTGTTTAGTGATCATGGTCATTTTGAGTTTGTTTAAATACTGCAGCCGAATGCTTATAAACTAATCCCAGAACATTTTGAAATGCTTCAAAGCTTTTAGCGGGGGAACCTCTTGCATGGGCTTTGTAGATGAAGCTGACCACAGTTCACTGGAACCAGACAGCTCAGATAAGTAAGATGAAAGCAGACATTTCCTGAAAATATCTTGAAAGCTTTCCATTAGTCTGTGCCAGGGGTATACACTAAAAACAGAAAGTGCCCATGCTTGTACAGCAACCAATCTTCACATTGCCTTCTCCATTCTTTCTTGAACTACTGTATTTGTATCTATTTATCTGCTTCATTTGCTTTCTTGCAACGTTCTTTGGGGGAAAAAGATGCAACTTCTGCATTCTGGTTTACAGTACCTTATAAAGCAGCTATTACTAGAACAGAAAATTCTGTTTAACATATTAAAAATTGCAACAGGAAGAAATAGGAATCTACCAATGCCAAATTTACTACAAATTACAATAAATAAGAAATTTGATCTATAGATAATTTTTAAGAGTCACCCACTCCATGACAGGCATGAATGCAATTGTTTGAACATAATTCTCTGGCTGTCAAAGTGTACTCTAAGAAGGTCAATTCAGCATTACTGAATGTGCTGGTCATAGGAGTGCCTCAGGCTAGATTTTCAATAAAGGCTGAGACTGGCTGTTCATATTTTATACAATAATTTGATTGAATAAATCCAACTGCTCACTAGGAACATGAAATACTCCACTGCTGCGTCCTCCAACATTTTATACTTTGAGACATACAGTCACAACAGTCACACTGTCCCATTTCAGGCACTTCATTTCAGAGCAATGGATGAGAAACCCAGCTTTCCTTAATAGTCAGTAGACTCAAGGGCACATAAGTACTTTTAACAGCTTCTCAAGGACCAGCAGACTATAGTGAGCCCAGGTTCTAATTTAAGCACCAAAATTCGGCGTTATGACTGTCCATCTTGCTGTATCCTACAAAGAGTTAATATGCACACTTGTGTGAAGAGAGGACAGCACTGTCACACCATAATACAATTATAAAGCACTGATGACACTTGAATTCAATACAGTAGCAATGACAACAGTTATTCTGTCCAGCAGCTTATCACAAAAAGGGTCGGGGCACTCTGAGACTGCACTGTGGAGTTAAGTACACCAAGTCCCCAGCACGCTCTAGCCATACCTGAGAAGGAAGTGGTGAGCCACAACCCTGATGCACAAAATGGGGTGCAAGCAAAGTCCAACAGTTGCTACTTGAAACAAAACAACCCTGCCCCCTTCCATACAAAACAAAAAATACTTGAAGTCTTCATAAGTTTTTTTGAGGTATACCTTGAAAGCCATGTTCACTCTGCCTTCTGTAATCTCTGTTCCCTGCGCCCTGGGGTACTTGTGATATGGTTTGCCACCCACCTGGAAAGAGGAAGTATTATCCTCTTCCAGGGTGTAGTTTATGCTGTTTAGTATTGGGAGTAAAATGGTCGTCCTATGTTTGAAACCAGGAAAAGACCTGTGAATAAATACTGTCAAAACAGGACTGGAGCTTATAAAGACCCACTCTGACCCAGGCCCCAAACAACTCCATGATATAAATGACATTACATGTGCTACCATGTGCGTAATCTCTCAGTACAGCTAAAGCAGAAGACTTAACAGGGCGCTCTTCTTTTTATGAGAAATATTAGTAATATATGACAGGTTCCTTGGCAGACTGCAGGAGGAGAGAAAAGGCCACAACATGACGATCTGTATGTGAGGGGCTGCCCAGGTCCTCAGTAGCCTTCCCCTAAAGGGGAAAGTGGCTTCCACTAAATATTGAAGTTTTATTAGAATTCCCAAATAATTACGTGTTCTGCTTTAATCTTTCTGGAAATGATGCAACACGTGTCATCTTGTTAGAGGAATCTTATCACTCGTTCTAACCCACCTACATTCTTCTACATCCTCTCCTAAGAGGCACCTGAGAGAAGTTGTTCAAAATCTCAAGATCATGAGCTTGCAAGAACCTTACAATAAGGGGAAGTCAACAGAGGTTTTATTAATTATTTCACTAAAATAATATTAGAAATAAAGTCTACTGTACTTTATCATCAAATATAATTCATTTGTTTAGGGGTAGACCCTTAGAAAGCAAAAGTAAAAAGAGACTTGGTTCTCTGCTTACACTGATTGTTACCAAGACTGCCTACTACTTGTATAACATTTTAAAGCATCTGTAAAACAATCATTAGTTATGTAAACATTTAGAGCTCATCATATGCAGAGACCAGCAACATACTTTAACTTCTGATCAAAAAGTGTCACCATTTCCTTAACTATACGGAAACTACTTGAAAAATTCATAAGATCTGTTTCACAAATTAACAATTCAACCATAAGAATATATAGTAAAAATGACAAAAGATTTGTTCTTATAGTTGATAAAAAATTTATGCCGAGGCATTCAAGTAAAGTTACTTTCTGTGTTCTGATTTAATGAATCATTTGAGCGGTATCTGGCTGGGTGACACAGATGTAAGGCTCGTTGAAGCCTGCTCTAATGCCTGCTGGTACAGTCTTCCTTGGGACAGTAAAGCCAGAACAATGTGTCAGACTGAAGTAATATCAAGGAAAGTAAGTGCAGTGGTGGGGATGCTCTGAGGCTGGCCCACAATACTTCTTGACCTGTGAATGTCTGTAAACACTTCTCTGTCCTACAGGCTCCAGTGACCCAGGAAGCCCAAAAGAAGCAGCAGCAGCAGCGCAGTAATAAACAGGCTCTGGAATAAAGATTTTTGCAATCTTGTAATTTAAGCTCAAGACATACAAAGATTGCTTGATGATTTAACCCTACTGAAAGGCAGTGTCCGACACCGGTGGTGTGAAACCACCAGTGATTTCTTAAAAGGTGAACTAATATTAAATATTTAATACAAATTTGTGTTTGTTTAACACACTGCAAAGTTTGTGTCTTTAACCTCAGAAATGTACCTGAATTTGCAAAATACAAATTAAGGAACTCGATGCATATGAATACTGCTTTTACAGATCATGCATTTGTGTAGAAGTTTACTCGAAGACACTATAATAAAATCAGGCTTCCCATCAGGAAAATCCTTGTAAAGGATTTAATTCTACAGTAAGTAAAACAAAGCCAACAAGGAACTGTGGCCTTGTAATATCATAATCTTGAACAATCAAGCTAATCCTCACAAAAATAAAATACTGGCTCCCAGTATTCCTTGGGAGTTGCTAAAAAGGCTTTCCCCTCTAAAAGAAGTTGGCTAAAATGTTTAAACAAACGTATTTAGAAGCACACCATATCTTTTTGGAAATAATTTGACTTTACTCATAGAAGTGAAACCTTTTAAGAAATTAGAAGTAAAATGAAAAACCAAAAGCTTGACAGTTATGCCAAATCCAAATAATACAATACACGTCATTTTGTCCTAACGTCAGAGAAGGGAAGAATGTCTCTCAGCAGCAAATGGAAGAGGGTGAATTACACTCCTTCATCCCACCAGCCCTCCTTAAAACCCCCTAAGGCTTAACTTTTCTTTTTTTTAATGTAACATTCAGTTATTGTTAAAAAGTTATTGCCCATTCTTAACATTTGTTGCAAATTGGACAATCCTGTTTTGTCAAGAGAATTTAGTTCATTTTCATGAGGAAAATATTTCTCCTGATTCCACAGTAATTTCAACAAATCTTAGCTTCTTTTATCTGCAGATTAAATCTTGTTTCAATAGGCTAGTTAAGACAGTTGCATATAAGAATATTTGACATTAAAAGGTACTTACACAGACAACAAAACAATAGCGATTAGAGTCCATTCAGGCATTTTGTGAATAATATTTCTGTTTGTTAACCTGAAAAATAATTAAAAAAAAATCATTACATTTCAGAGTAAAAGTAAACAGATTTTAACAGCTGAATTTTAAGTCTACCATTAATACACTGAGTTATAATGAAGCAATTACAGCTGTATCTGAGCAATGCACCAACTTTCAGGCTTCTTTCATCCTGTAATGGAGGAATTGCAAAATTCCCAATATGTCTCTTCTTTCTATATGAAAGTGGGATGGGAAAGACTGAAAAGAAGCTAATTCTTTGAATATGCTCACAAATAGTCCTGGCTGCTGTGAGTCCCACTGGGAAATTCTCTGCAACTGCACGTGTGTTTCTGAAAAGACAGACCTTCTTACACTTGGTTTCCCTCTTGTTGGCTTCGGATCCAGATTTGCTGCGAGAGCTAATGTGGAAACAGACTGAATTTTATAAGATACCAGCACCAATCCTCTGATGATTCTTGTTTTTAAAATGGAAACCCAGAATTCTAACTTATGCAATGGGAGTCAGAGGAAATATAAGAGCCATATAAATATAAATGAGGTGTGAATCAAGAACCTCATGGGTGTGCAACCAAAGTGCTGCTGCACTGAAACCAGCTGACCCCCTTGGCTGAACTGCCTAATAAAACAGATCTGCTCTAAGTTAAGTGCTAACCTGTCCTACAACAATTCATGTGCGAATTGCTATGGCCGAATTTAGGCACGACCCAAGACATGCAATTTCATGGAAAAGTCACAGTTAAAAACACAGCAGTGGCTGGGCAGGCACCCAAAAGAGCCAGCTGAATTAATTTTATTCGACAGATGGCACCATCCAACAGAAATAATGAAGGGCAAGTGCCTCCCAGTGTTTGCTTCCTTCTTGCTCTCAGTTTCCCTTCTGTGAAGCCTTGCACAAATTCAGACCCAGAATGAAGATACCCTGTTATTCATACTCACTCCTACAGGCACTGGTGAAGGGAAAAGCTTGTTTAAAGTTAACTGTTTGGCAACAAATACAAATCCAGGGTTTTCTTCCCCAGTAAGACTACTTTTAAAAAAAACCTTTTAATCACTTTGGGCAAGTATATAGTTACCAAAAAAGAAAAAGGCAAAAAATTTACAAATTGAGAAAATAGAACTATTTGTACTTGTTATTGTTGAAATTCAAATTCTGTTAACTAATTCCCCAAAATTATGTTCAAAGTGGTCATAAAAAATGCAGTTATGAATAAGACCTTTTATGTTTGCATTTATCTATTTCAGAAACCTATTAAAAATTAATAAAATAAATTAGTAAATATCAAAACAATATTATCCTATTTTTCTCCTCAAATCTCCAAATCTTCAAACCAAACTAAGATTTTGAAGCAATGATTCCTCAAGTAGTGTCTCAACAGCCTGAGTTTTATTAAATTATGAAAGGCAAAACAATGTTTTGCCCTACATATGCAGGAATTGTCACATCTAACTAGAACCAACAGTTCTGGCAAATACAGATTATATTTGCTATTAAAAGATTAATGTTTAGCAATTACTATTGGAAATAGCTAATTGATCTGGCAACAAAGCTTGTACCTGGTAAAGTGTTAAGTGTTACATTTTTCTGGCTATAGAGCAAGGGCCAAAACAAAGGCTTAACATCTTGACTCAACACTCATGACAGTGATAAACAGTACCAAGAACTGTCTGATGGAATCATCTTGACAGGCAATTCATATGTAACATTCCAGTTAATCTGCTATGATGAGACACAATGAAAGAGACAGCTCCAGGCCACTTGGGAAAACTCTGTCAAATAGAGAAAGTAGCTTTATTTCAATGCTCTACAAGGAGTTATTATTGATTAGAGCACAGGAAGGTGTCATTCTTGTACACAAACTGAGAGATGCAGTTATTTGTGTCAATTAACTCTTATTCAATGTTAGTATTGATTGGCAAGGTCTGAACACTAGTCATTGCCATCAATATGCTATTTATGAAGGAGGTAGTGAAAAGACACAGACAACCAGCAGGATACAGCAATATGGATCTGCTGCTGTCCTACTGTCACTGGACTGGATGAACAGTCAGGCTTCCACAATCAGTAACCTTTCAGTACAATACTTGTCCTAAAACACTTGTGCAGCTGGAAAAAAAGGTCACATTTCAGGCAGATCAGAGTAAAGTTAGCAACCTACAGGTGTGAAGCCTTAAATAACAAGGAGCAGTGGAAGGGCAGTCACTTTCAAAAACAAGTTGTGTGTCAACACCAAGGCCTCTGAAGAGCAAAGCTTTCAGAAAACAGGGAACTGCAGGGCCTCTGTAAGAATGGTTCATTAAATCTTTGTCTTGCCTCTAGCCAAAACTGTTACTTCAGAACAATCCATGAAAGAGAGGTCTCTAGATTTCTGTAATAAGCATATGATGTGGAAATCGTAAAACTGTACAAAACTTTTTGTATGTGATTTGAGTTTTGCAGTGGAGTATTTTCTGTTATAGAGTTTGGCTAAATTCTCCCTCGCTTACCTAAAGAAAGAAAACAACACGCAACTTTCCAAAATGGAACGTCTCTAATTTCTTGGCCTCTGCAGAGCAGCAGACGTAAGCCAGGAAAGTCTGATATCCCAAATAGCTGTGTGGGTCGCTTAGTTGTTAGTTTGTGGGTCTTGTGGTTCACTCCAGCAAGACACACTGCAGCCAGACCTGAGTGCTCCCACCCCCCAGCAGGACCCACGCAGTTTTCATACTCTATGAAGGAGCTCAGACTGAGCAGATGGATCCAAGTAGCAGAAGCTTAGAGGATACAGGATAAAGGACTCAAGAGTAAGATGCATAAAAATTCCATCCCAAATGTCCTCCCAATAACTGACTAGTACCCAGCCTGCAAAGGAAGGGGATTCTAATAGGGAAGTTGTAGTAATACAGGGGAGTCCAAAGTGAAAGTTACCAGTAAACAAAACCAGTAAACCCAGAAATGACAACATGACAAAATGACAAATGACAACACAGTTGGTTTTACTTCTTTTTCTTTAGTTGTCTTCCCATTTAATTACCATCAACTGCAAATGATAGCCTGATTTGTAAACAGTGCCTGCTGTGGCAGCAGATTTAAGCACTGCCTAAGTGCCCTGTGAAAGAACTTGGAGAGAGACCACAACAAACTTGAAGTTATAGAAAAGAAACTCAGCAATGCTGGAGCTGACACCTTTTCCTCAGCTGGATTACATTTCCTGGAATTTCAAAGGAACAATTTGACTAAAGGAACACTGCAATGGGGATTAGAAGATGGACACCAACATTATTATGCAAAATATGTATTTCCCTAAAACCCATAAAATACAGATGAAAATCTATTTTCAATATCAAATATTATGCCTTAAAAAACAACCACACATACACAAACATAATAATTTCCCCTCAGTTTATATATAAGTAGCTAATTTTCTCTTGATCTTTTAACAAAGTCCCCTTACACACTCTGGAGAGTTATTTTACATCTCAGTTTTTGTAACAAAAGCTTACAGGCACTGAGGGACTTTGTTTGGGAAGAGCTCTAACCATTCTAAAATGTCTCTTGAGATCTCTCTAGTGTGTTTCTTAGCAGTGGTGATTGAATAAAATGCTGCCCAAAGGAGGCTGAACTGCAAGTGTTCCTTTAAAAACCAATGGAGCTGAAAATTGTTGTTGCTTAGTTCACCACATGCTCTTTTACCCTTCTTCAGCTAAGCTCTACTACAGCCATGTGTTTTCTCTACTACCCTCTTTGGCAAGTTCTTCAGCCTGAAATATTTCCAGTACAAAAAGCAGGAAAAAGCATGAACATTTATCAGTGCTCCTATGTAGTCATTAAGTATGTGAACAACATTAACAAAGAAATTTCTAAACCCTGTAAATACAAATGCCATTTAAAATTTATCCCAAGTCTCTCTGCCAAAGCATTAAATCCAAAGCTTGAGAGAGCACTAATATTAAATAAATTTAAACCTACATACAGAACTGGAGATTCAAATCTATGCCTTCATCTTAGCGAGCTCTTGTGTATCAATAGACCTTTCCATATCAGTAATGCAAGAAGGAGAAAGGTTTTCATTGCTTCCCTATTTCCTGTTTTTGTTATTTCACTTTTAGTGATAAAACTCCATTTTTTGGAGATATATATATTATATAACTTGCCTTCAACCACCCCTCACCCCAAATCCTGAAATTCTAAGCAAATGATATGGAATCTTCACACGAAGAGAGCCCCAAGACCTTGCTTCTATTACCTTCAACTTACTTCCTAACAAAAAAAAGAGATAAAAATAAACTCACAAAGCGTTATCTAAGGGATCAGAAATAGATCAGGGGAGAATTTTAAAATATGCTAAATTATTGCTACATGAGCTAAGTATTGAGATCAAAGCCCAAATAAATTAATTTGGTTCCACTCTTTAAATATATATATATATATGTTTCATATATATACGTTTTAGAAGTCTATTTTGGCTTCAAGTCTTATTTTTATAAACCACTTCTAAAATTTTATATTCAGGGCACACTGTCTTTGAATAGCAAAAATTATTTAAAATAGAAGTTCTGCTTTTGAGAACCTCCAGGCCTTCTTACATAATCAATCATACAAAAGTAGACTGAAAGAGACCAAATGCAGTTTTTCCAGTTTTATCAACCCATAAGCTAAAGTGACTATTAAGAATTTAAACTGCAGAGCAACAAAACTGTTTTAAGACACCAAGATCTTATTCAAATAACAGGTATCTATACAGTATATATATGTTGCTTCAATATAACCAAAAATATCTTCCCTGGTTTCAATGTTGCTGTTAAAACAAAAGGTTAATCAGGACTTAAAAGACTCCAATCACAGAATCAAGTTCAAACACTAATAATCCTTTTAAATAAAAGAGATCATGATCAGAGTCATCAGAAGGGAAGAGAGAATTTTCCACAGTAAGAAATCCTGCATATAGACATCTGTGTTTTAGTGGCATCCTTCCAGCCCAGATCCCTTGTGGCAAATGCTGCATGAATGAGTTCTGGAAAATTCACATGTAAACCTCACGCAGGTTGAGGATGTGGGAACGACGTTTCAAGAGTGACAATGTACACACAGTTAGCAATTGCTGATGTTCTTTTCCTGACAACACTTGAGGATGCAGGACATGATCTAGGTCCAAGTTATGAGAGTTGTGTTCCAAAGGAAACCTAAAAACATTCAGAGAAGTTACCACCATTCTGTTTTCCCTCCTTTATCTCACTGTTTCCAAATACTGAGTTTAGTCCTACTGACTGAAGCAGAAGCTTCCTCTGTGACGGTAAAAGTGCCCACTAAATCTACTTCCCTTTAAAATCAGGAACAGAACAGGTCAAACTGGACCTTCTTCCCGACTCTAGAAGTTACTGGTAACAATTATTAATCACATTAAAACCATTTAGCCAAGCTGCAGGGAGCCAGAGCAAAAGAAAGCGACAGATCTCAGAAACTCATGCCTAATAGGAGGTGACAAGGTAGCAGAACCTTTAAAAGACTCACCATCATCCTCCAGAGACCACTGGCCTAGTTTTTAAAAATCTACAAATACTCCTGGTGACCTAGTCACTGTCAGGAGCAGGGAAAGGGTTGACTTCTTAGTCCACAGGGAATGGGACATTACCTACATGAACACACAGCTAGAAAAGGGCAAATCTGCAAATTGTTCATTGGCATGTTTAATTAATCAATTAAGAAGAATCTCTAAATAAGGACCAATACTCACTGGAAAGTTTTGACAAGATTTTTCAGCTCTGCGTAAACATCACCCGGAGCGATCTGAAGAGGGCCCAAAACTGCAGGTAATCTAGGAGGCAAAAGACACCAGTCAATATGCATTTTCTTCTCTTTCTTATTTCTTCTCAAGTAGGACTTCTGCCAAAGCTTATCAAAGTTAGTAAAAAGAAAAAGAGTGACTTTTGTGCAGCAGATCAGGCCTGTAGTTTTCATTGCAACTTCTTCTGAGCGGTGTTTGGGCCACCACCTTCACTTCACAATAGCTTGTTTTAAAAAATAAGCTCCAGTTCAGAGTGAACGTGAAGGAGAAATTAAATACAGTTCTACCTACATTTTCTTACTCATTTCACATTTCAGTTCTGACAAGATATTCTTACAATTATGAGGATTGGAACTACAGGCCTTATAAATTTTTCAAAGGTTTATATTTACTTGGTTCAAAAATAACAATACAAAAGGAAACTACATGTCTGAGGCTTGCACACAGAATATACCTGCTAACCTCAGACTTGCACAGATGCAACAGAAATATCACTCCACTGTGACCTCGATAGTTGAAACCAAGATGATAGTAATCAGAAAATTTCAAAAGAGAGAAAAATACAGGTTTCCTCCTTACCTGACTGTACATAAAAACTGATAGAGTACACACACTGCACATAATGTTTAACTAGTTGCCAGTATTCCCAAATGATGGAAATAATGTGCATTGTTTTTCACATTTAGGATTAAACTTTCGCCTTTATTCACTTGTTTAATAGCTAATATCCTGTTGCATTTGAGTTTCCATTCATATGCACACAGTGCATCAATATCACAGGAAGAATCAAGATTTCTGTTCTGTACATCACTGCATGTTTTACAAAAACTGAGCACAGGACTCTCATGATGCTGGGGATATTCCCTGCTTTATCACAATGAAAACTGTGACAGGATCACTGCATCACCTCAGAAACGTAAAACAATTGACACAGGCCAGACACTCGCAGGATGGTTTGATTCCATGATTGTTGCCTATCCACACACGTTGCAGGCAGAGAAAAACGGAAAGGATTTTTTTATTTTATTTTGGGGGGCAAGTTTTGGTTGTGGAGGTTTTTAGTTTAAAAAAAACCAATCCTTTGGCAAAACCTAGTTTGGCTGGTTAACACAAACTACAGGAAAAGTAAATACCACTAACAAAAATACCAGAATCATGACCTCCAAAGACTCATTTATCTGCATTGCCTTGACAATATTTTCAAAGTCCTCTCAACTTTGACAATTTAGTAATTCTAACAGCTACAACAGAAATGCCTTAATTTATTTTCTGGGACTCCAAAGCTCTTTTATGTGTATGAAGAAGGTCTGATGCCTGGGAACTTTTAAGATTCAACTCTGAGGGCCTTTAATGCTTGTAGCTAGGGGCATACTGATATCAGCCATCCAAACATGGACTAGAAACTCGTTTAGTAGCACCTTTGCTTAAAGGATTATGAGGTTTGAAAACATTGCTTCCTTCTCTGTAGATTTTTTTTGCCAGTAACAGTATGCTTAATGTACAAGACAAATATTTGCACTCCTCCCAATCAACTTCAAGTTTTTCAGTTTAAAACTGAGCAGCTGGTACATGCAGACCACGCAAACTGACATCTGCAACTGTACCACAGGTGATGGTCACAGAAATAAATAAGTGCTTTTGGACAATATTAGGTTTAAGTTATGACTAAGGCCACCTAGAAAAAGCCAGGCCCATCCTTGGACAGCGTGTTTGTTACTTAAAATGATGATGAAGGAGCACCAACTTCAGATTGACATTTAACAAAGTAAAGGATACTTACGCTTTTCTCAGTTTTTCAAGGACGATTCGCTTTCTAATCTGCATTTGTGCATTGGAATCAACAAGTGGGAAGGTGAGATCTTCGTGTTGATCATCCTGTGTTAGACAAAACACCTTAGCAGCTATAACCTAGTATTTAATTAAAGTCAATGCATCAAAACAGCCACAGATTATCAATAAATGTTTAAACATAAGATTACTCTTATCTCTGAATAGAAAAAAACCCCAAACTGTAATTTTTTAATGGACAGAAGCTTGCATAATCTGACCCAACATACAGTGTGCAGCCAGCATACTTTTCTCCTTCCCTGCGTGAGACACCCACTTAGGATGGCAGAAACAAAGCAATAATTTTTCGAAGGCCTATTCAGGCTTTACACAGCCTCCAAACTATTCCACTGCACACTTACTTTGTCTGTGCTTGGATGTTCCTCTTTCTGTGCATGTGTCGCTGCCTCTTCAGCCAAGATGCACCTCCCTTTATAGAACTCTTTCACTCGGAGTTCTAGGAACTCCGTTTCTTCTTTTAACTTTTCGTAACTAGGCACAGGCTTAACTACTCCACCTGGGCCTGTGAAAGGTAAAGAATAATTCAAGCTGGTTTCGGACCCTCTTACAGCAACAGTGTTAAGATCATCAGCTGTATCTAAGTCATCCTCATCAAGTTCTTCAGTCTCCTGGCTGGCAGGTGCTATGCACTCTGATGAGCACAAAGTAGTATAGTCTGGGCCATAGAGAAATTTTAAAGTTTCCTCAGTTCTCCATTCCGTAAGTGTGTGTCTAAGCACTTCCAGTAAACTGCCTTTGGAATTAACTGGATTCCTCAGTTCATGTTTTCTATATTCTGTTGAGTTAGCTAGTGTTCTTCTAAGATGTTCTGCCCCTCTTTTGCTAACACCTAGAAAAACTATTTGTGATCCACAGGTATTTTCACAGATTTGTGAAGCAATTGATTTCCCTAGAGTAGTATTTTCTGAAGGTGGTGCAGTTATTTCATTACGAACAGAGCAAGCATGCTCTTCTTCCTGAGTATCTAATTTACAATGAGAGAGCTGTTCAGTGGCTTCTACCACATCTGAATCTTCAGTTTGAGGGCTGGGGTAGACTTTCTGAGCATGCTTTTTTTTGAGGATGCTTTTTCTGGGCAATTGCCGTGTAAAATTGGCTGAACTTGACTGATTTCCTGGTAGGACAGATGAAATAAATTCTTGCTCATTATCACTGCTGCTGTCACTGGCTGCGTCATGAGAACCAGCTTCACATTGCTCTGAAGGTATCCTAGGATTTTCAATGTCAGATGCTTTAATTACTTCATCACGTAGTTTCACCTCTTCTCCAGACCGTCCACTGTAACAGAAAACACAAGCCATCAATGAAATAAGAAATGGGTGTTACCTGCAGTAGCTTTTCATTCTCACGTAAGAATGATAAACAAAGCATTTTTCCCCTTATAGAAGAAGAATGATTTTTTGCTTTAAGAATCATAGCTGCTCTTCTAAAAGTCTTCCTGAACTCAGAGTTGTACTGTTCTACAATCAAGATGACAAGTATAGAGACTATTTAAAGAAGTGAGTTCTCAGCTGATTATTGTCAGTTAGAAAAGTAAATAAAATATTATTAAGGACAGTAAAATAATATCAGACTTAGCATGATGAATACTGCAATTTTAAAATGAAGACAGGTATGTTAAAATAAATAGGAATATAGTGCCCTAAAATCAGAGGGACAGCAGAGCTGTTTGACCATATCCAAGTTTGCCACCTAATGGCCACGGATTGCAAAAGAAAACAAACAAACAGTCACAATACACAGGGAGGTACAGAGAGATGACAGAGTGGTGTGATTTCATTTTGGCTGATACAGACATTTTAGATTAGGAAGTATAGAAGCTTTCATCACATGTAATTGGCACAATTTTCTTTATAAAGAATAGATAGCATAAAATATGCAAAATACAAACAGTGTCTTTGTTTCAGATTTCAACGGGCTCAATTGAGACACACAATCCAAGAGCAGCTGTACACTAAATCATACAGATCAAATATGCTGGGTTAGAATCACAAAGGAAAAAAAACATTGTGTAGGTTCTAATAAAGTCTTTTCTATAATACAGGAAATCAAAGATTCCCGTTTGACCTGATACGATACTAAAATTTCTAAGTATAGGTGCATATAAAAAAAAAATAAAATTGATCAGTGTACCTCTGTCCCTCCTTCAGCAGCTCTATGTCTGGTGGTCTGCAAAAAGAAGACACAGAATGAAAACTTTCCTGCTAAATCAATTCTCTTGAAATACACATAAATACAAAAATAGTTGAGCTTGGAAGGGATGCTTGAGGATCCTGTGGTCCAACACCCACTGTTTAAAGCAAGGTTATGAAAGCAGGTTTCTGCACATGTGCTTACAGAGAGGGACTTGTGTGCCTGCAGCACCAGGATGTTACAGTGAACAACATATAACACAACCAGCAAGTCACACCAATGTTAGTCAGAAAGGACCTCTGGAAGGCTCTAGTCTGACCTCCTGCTTGTAATGCAACTGTCACCAGCAGCAGTTTTGATCAGCCACAAATTCATGAAGTTTAAATCTTGAAAACCTCCAATGACGGAGATTTTAAAACACTGCTGGGTATCCTATTTCCTATGACTGTGAAAACGAGCTCACACCTATAAATTCAGCTAGTTCCTTTTGCTGAAAACCAGGAGACTATGAAAAGTAGTGTCTTGGAGAATGAAAGTTGAATAAATTCAGCAGAACATTCTCTATGCAAGTCCTTATCGTTCAACAGTGACACCCATTGGCTCCACTCATTATTGCAAGCCTGTGTTTCCTAAGCTAGAAACAGGCTGCATTACACTGTTCCAAAATGTGTATTGCAGGAACAACATGAAATGGGCAATCTGAAATTTAGATAGGATAAAGAAACTCTTCATGGTGTAGTCTGCTTTCAGATGCAAGCATTTGCAGTCTAAGCTGAAGACCAATGCCAAGTGCTGTGCTAAGGGTGATCAAAACATGGTCATGTCTACTAAGCAGATGGGAGTAGTACTGAGCCATGTCAATTATTATAATCCATACAGCAACAACACTTAAAAGGAACACTGTGCTAAGCTTACACCTTAACATCAGTTACCTCTGCTTCAGTCAAATAATTTTGATGCACTTCAGCTGATTAATTAGCATTGCAGCTTGCACAGAGAAGTGATATTCTCAAAAAGAGCAACGAATGTATAAGATTATACTTACTTTTCTTCTTCTCTCATCCATACTGGACTTTTAGAAATTTGAGCTTCAAAATATTTAGATGCTCTATAGCAGAAGTTGCTGCAAAAGCACTGGAAATGAAAGAAAGCAAAAAAATATGGCTAAAGCCAACTTCAATACTCATAGAAAGGTACAAAAGTAATTGTTTTTTATGCCTGTATTAAGTACCAATTCATGTTTCTTTTCAAGACTATGAGCAGGTTTTTAATTTACCTGAAAACCCAAACATATCAAATAGGTCTATCCCATTCCCCAAAAGCCAGTTTTAGCTTCTTTTTTCCCATTTTTCTGCTTTTTGTAGTTTCATTACATACTGAGAAGCAAACCAGTGTTGACTCCTACATAAAAATTATTAAAAAAACCCCAACAAACTGTTCAAAGAACAAGCCATAACCCATCACAGTCATACAGTTTAAAAGACATGCGATAAAATTCAGGTGTTTAATAATTAAAATTTTGGTCAGCAACAGAACTTGTTTTTTTGCAATACTTGGAACAACACCTAAAATTTTGCAGCATCTTTGAAAAATTGACTTGCACACTTGCATCACAAGGGAAGAAGACAAAGCATCCCACTTCTTCTCGGAGTCCTGCCTGGTTGCCTAAAAAAGCAATTCCTAGAATTTCACGTATCTTGAAGTTGTAAATAGAGGAAAGGAATGGATACCAGTGACACTGAAGAAACTCGTTCTGTAACTGGAAACATTTATCTTACAATTTACTGTCTAAGCATCTGTAGGTGACTGCATATCCTGCGAACTGGCAAAGATGACTTTTATACAACCACGTGTCACATATGTCTTTCACAGATCAGCTGTACCACATTCAAACTGCTATCCAAGTAAAATTTTCCACGTTATGTTTAAATATAGAAAATATGTGGGTTTGTTTTACCAAAGACAGTATCTAGAAACTGAAATGCACAAAAACCTCCTAACTGTTCATGAAAATTATTTTTGTAAGAACCAAACATATTGGCTCTAAATCAAAGCCACTATATTAATGCTGTTACAAAATGCATTTCTGACGTTGTATCTACTACATACATTGTAGAAACAGACTTGTTACCATACCTTTCTTTCAGTGATATCATAAACTCTGTTAGTTTTTGTTGAAATCTTGTACTTCTGCTTTGGCACCTAAAACAGAATGTTTTCACCAGCAAGACTGTTACTTCCATGGTGACCATACAGAGAGCTTCATTCTTAAGTGTAATATGTTCTAACTGAATTGCATACTACAACCACCTTTTCTCTCAATTCTGATGTTGTACCTTCTCACCTGTAAGAATGGCAATTTATCCTTAATCATATACATCTCACTATCAGTAGAAGACAACTTCAGATCTACAAGAAAGTCAGTGCTGAACATAAAACAATGGAGCTGCCATGGCAGACACTTTCCTCACGTGTAAGTGCTGAGCAATGACAGACAGGTCCTTCCTTAATTCGTATTTATTTGTATGCACATGAGACTGTACTGTCAGAGACCCCCACCACTACCCAGACAAACCCAGAGAGGAACTTCTATAAAATGTAATACAATTTCAAAGTGAACTTCCGTGTGAACATATGAAGTCCAAACCAGCAAATTTTTTTGTACTCAAGTAGATTTTTTTTTTTAGATAATCATGTGTACCACAGGTATCTAACTGAACTGAGTTCTGCTAAAAGAAGTCTGACTATGATTTTGACACAGTTGACATACATTTTTACAGCAGATGTATATGTATTCACATAATAATATCCCTGCATTGTATTACTTTTTCACTTCAATCCTTCTCACAGACACTTGTGGTTATACTGACGAAAGAACAAGATTAGAAAATTTTCTCATGCACAAAGGAAGGCCATGAAGCCATAACTCATTGATCTTTATCACTGTCAAAGTAGATGCTAACTGATTTACCATATAGTAACTGATGTCTTTTAATCAAATTTTACCTCTCACTTCAGAAGGATTATACTGAAACGGAGTGATATGGTGCCTGGCCCATTACTTGGCAGTATTTTAATCTTTGTTTAATAGTCTTTAAAAAGAAAATGCAAGAGAATCAAAATTGTGAACAGACTCTTACGATAACAGCATTAATGAAAAGGAACTTACATTTTCCAGTTTATTTTGACACAGAGGATAACCACACAGTTTGATGATAGACCGTTCATCAACAATGTCTTTATAGTGAGATGGAGTAATACATTTTCCCTAAAATTACAAGAAAATAGTTCAACAACAGATACTGGAAAATATGTCATTTTTTGTACTCAAAACATCTCATAAGCAAGTAAGTATTTTAAATTTTATAAGTTATCTAGTAAGTTTAATAAACAACATTTAAAACCTACACAATAAAAATGCTAAAAGGGTAAACAGAAAGAAGACAGAGATGGGCACTTCATTTTACAAATACAAGAGCTTCATAATTTTGCCTCTAGTGTAGCACCCATTTCCATAATTTTCCTCTATTTATATTTACCAGTTTATTTACAACCTTAACAGGAATAATCATCACACCATTTCAGCAAAACTGTGCTGCCAGATAAACTGTGGTGTATTTATAGAAACTTTGCCTAAATTCACAGATGATGTTACGTAGACCTAAATATTTATACCTCACCCACCAGTCCAGAACCACAGAGGTATATAAAAAGGCTATGATAACAGAGTGAGGACTCATAAATGTATACAGTCCTGCAAAACTGGGGCATGTTTTCACTGCAGAACCCTTGAAAACAAGGCAATCATCATCAGAGCTCACGAGAGAGGCAATCGATGGTTTGTCTATTTTAAACTGCAGTAAATTGTTCCAAGAACTTTGGAAAAAAAAAGCAGCACACTAAGACACAAAACAGTACAAAAACTTGCAACACCTACAGAATTTAGAAGGAACTCTTCAGTAATGTTCTCCTCCAGGAGCTGTTCAACAATAGACAACGCTTTTTTCTCAAATTCAATCTTCTTTCTCATAGCAGCTTCCAGAGCTGCTTTCCTAGAACAGAACAGACACTGAATGACACAGAGGGTAGATTTTCATAAACAAATTTCCAATCATATCTTTATCTTTTTTCTGAAAAACACTAGCTTACTCTTTTCTGCATCACACCATGTTGGCCAAACAAAGCAACAAGTAATTGGACTAGTAATTCTGTTATAACCACAAAGGAGTTTCCAACCTCGGTTTATTTCCACTCTGGTCAGGAAAAGTATTGACTCTAATTGCATTGCAATACACCCCTCAAGGTGGCCCAACTCTTCTTGCAAGAGAGAAACCAAGAAGAATGGAAAGAAAAAAGGACTGGAACATGATTGCGTGTGAGGTTACAAAGTAAAAGAAGGAATAAATCAAACAAATGCTACTACAGTAGATTTCCTGAATGCTTTTTAATGTGAATAAGTATAAATGGCAGGTATGCAAAGAAGTTAAGATGGCAAAAAGCAAGTATTACTAAGGAAATACAATTGTGAAGGTTGGATTCATAGACTTTTAGTATATTATACAATGCACATATGTGCATGCTGTTAGAAGTTACAGAGCATCACTCCAAACAAGCCTGCATGATGATGCTGCTAATCTCCTGAAGGTAGTCATGGTACTCTGAGAAAGACAAAAGACATGCAAGGCAGAGAATGCCATTTCAAAGTGAGGTAAAATGACACAAATGTCGCTTTTTGTTAGTCAGAAACTATACCTTTGAGCAACATCTTCATTCTTTGGAGCAGTTGAATGCTTATTTCCTAGAAATCAAATATAAAAATGTAGAAATATAGAAATTAGTGTACTTTCTTCCTTTAACACTGGAAAATACAGGAACCTGAAAAATATTAAAATCTCTAAACTGTAAGCATAATCAAGACAATTGCTGAGAAACTTGCTTTTGATGGCCGTGACTTCAGTAAGCTGGTAAGTATTCAGCAACTAGTTAGCCACAAGCGTGAGGATAGACAGGCCCAACTCTTCCCTTACTTCCCATTCATTCATCATGTTCTGCGTACCCAAAAAGCTACGAGGAGAATAATTCTGACAGTAACTTTGTGCAAACCGCACCCGCCCCGGCTCTCCAGCCCAGCGTTACCCCTGCACCCCGCTGTCCTCTCGGCTGCCCCACCGCTGGGTTTTGCTCCGAGCCGGGTGCGGCGCCAGCACCTCAGACAGAGCCGCTCCTGCCCCCGCCGCCCTCGCTGCCCCCCGGCCTGCGCCCTGACCGGGCGGTGACACGGGGACTTCGGCAGCCGCTCCCCTGACACAAGGGCAGCAGGGAGGTGAGACATCGGGGTGTTATGCTTCGAACAGGAGGACGCAGCGCTCTAACCCGCTGCACGACCGCTGTCGCGGGCTGGGGCGAGCCGTCCCCGCACAGCCCGAGGGGACGGCGAGTCCCAGACCCGCCTCGCCCGTCCCACCGCCCATCGCGCCACGCACCCGGCCCGGCCCGGCCCGGCCCGACCGAGCCGTCCCGCCGCTCCCCTCGGCACAGCGAGTTGGGCGAGCCCGCCGCTGTGCCAGCCTGAGGGCACAGGGAGAGCCCAAGGCGCCAGGCGGGGGGGCAGGCGCGCGGAGCCCACCTGCGCGCCGCCGGCGGGGCCGGCCCGTCCCGGCCGCCATCATCGCCATCGCCTCCGCCCCGCCCGCCGACCTCTCACCCGGGGCGGAGCCGGGCTGGGAGAGGCGGTGGCGTGGAGCTCAGGGGTCTGGCCGGTTCGGGCTGAGGTGAGGGTTGCTCCATGGTTTTTAGTTCAGCCGCGTGTTACGAGCTGAGCCCCTGTGTTGTACCGCCCAGGGAAGGGGCTGCGATGTATGTTTATCAGGAGGCGGTTTGGTGAGTATTAATAGAACGTTTCACATGATCCAGATTCTGCCCACTTGCCGCTGAAACCTCCGAAAAGATTTAGTTAGAAACCGGATTAAGTATTAAGGCCGGAGACCATCTGCGAGCTGGGCCGGTAAATCCCTGGAGCAGCACGGTGGGTGCTCGGAGCACGTTCCAAGGCTGTAAGTACCTTGTGAAGTTACTCGGGGGTGAAAATGCAACAGTATTCGCGTTAGAAAGAACATTTAAATTGTTCTGGAAGGATTAGTAACATTCTGTGAAACGAAGAGCTCAAATAGTACAGCATGTAGTAGTAAAGTATGACCAAGTCAAAATGACAGGCTAGATACAATGGATAGGTTTCAACGACATAAAATGTTAAATCAGGCTGTCGAGAATAGAAAGGTAGTTGTTTATTCTTGGAATAATTAAGGTCACACATAGATGCTTTTTGAGCTTTCATTAATTGCCCCCTTCGTGTAATCAATCATCCAGATAGATTATTATCCAGGTGGTGTCTGATGTAGCTTAGGTCAAACATAAGAGGAAAGGTTGAGGACCTTCTATGGAGATGTCTGTGTTTTGATGAATAGATAGCTAATTAACCAGGTGTAGGGCTAATTGACACTCATAGTGATCATATAACCAGGTTTAGGCCCATGGCATTACTTGAAACTATAAAGATTGTGACTGCTGCTATGATATATCACATGGGATAACCAAGCTTGATTTTATTTTTAATTTGTGGTCTTAGCTATGTAAAACTTTGTATGTACTTAATATTACTCAAATGTTTAACTTAATTGCTTTTAGTTTTGAATTATAGTACCTAGAGGTAAAAGGCCACTGAACTACCCCAACGTAAACACTAGAAAGAAATAAATGATACTGCATTTGTAATCGTGATTGGACTGTTGGTATAAACTGGCATGATGCTTGCATCAGCTGTGCATATCCCAGATGCAGGGTTAAAGTGTTCCAGTCAGGGCTGAGCAGGAGCTTCTCTGTTCAGACCTTGTTCACAGGAAGTGTAGTGTGTCATGAGCATCCACACTTGGCGTGCAGACTCTCTCTGTATTAGCTGCAGTTTTCAATGTGTGTGCCTAAAGTAGTAGCTAAAGCCTCCAAACTTCTTAAATGACCCAGATAATAGTTGAAAAATTACTTCCCTGTACACAGAATGCAGGTTGTTTCCTGACTGTGATACTATCTCCTGCAAATATGGGGAGTAGAATAATATGGTGTACACTTCCTAAAAATGCATTTTTCCGTGTTTTTTAATCGTGGAGTCTTCTTAATATCTGTCTAGGTTGTTCTCATTCCTCTCTTGACTTTTTTTTTTATAATGTAATTATTTTTCAGCATCTGTTTGAAATTCATGTGATATAATACTGCACTCTTTAGTTTATAATAGTTTTTGATGCCAGAAGAACACAGTCAAACTATAATGGCAGTTGACGAACTTCAAGCCATAATACAAAGATGCGTAAGTAGTTTTCTTTCCTTAAAAGTAACAAATGTAAGCAGTGTGCATCTCTCTTCATATATTATAAGTAAAACCAAAATGACCTCAAAGCAAAGACAGTTGTTAGCAGAGTTTCTCATTGGGCAGCTGAGTTCAGCCTCCATATTTCATTGACTTCTCTGTGATGCTTATCCCAAGATGCTTGATAACGTCTGCTTCTTGAAGAAAGAAGTGTTCCTATACCCAGGAACAAAAGCAGGTTACTGTAGAAAATATATCTTCCAAACAGTATGCTGTAGTCTACACTTAAAAAGTGCTGTTGAAATACTGCTTTGTCTTCTGTAGTAACTCTTGGTAGCTTTTTTAACATGTGAAAAATGTACATAAGTTATAACATTTAATTTTTAAATGAATGCATGTATTTTCTTATTTGACTTTTATAAGCATGGAGTTAAATGTCAATATTTTCTTTCTAGCAAATTCTGGAAGAAGCTGATTTCAAAGGAGAAGATTTTAATCTGTTTCTGGTGGCAGGTCAGAAATGTTTAGAAGATGGCTATGCAGCTCAGTTATTAGAAGTAATTCAAAATGAGAAAAATAAGGTGAGTTTAAGTTTACAGTCTATTAGTTGTGCATTAACACAATTAAATGCATAAAACTGCTTATTAAGAAGGGAAAGCTACTTCCACTGTTAAGCAAGGCTGTACTTATGAATAGCTAATAAGTTGCTCTGTGTTAAATTAGAGAACCCAAATCATGGTAATCTTAACAAAACCATTTTTCAGTAAGTGACGCAAAGAGAAAAGGAAGGGCAAAAGCATAAATAGGAGAAGCTGACAGTGTCCCTCTTTTGCAGGACAGGGATTTCAGATGATGTGCTGGATCTGCCTGCCATGGAGTTGACTTTCTTCTTGGCAGCCTGTATAGGGCTGTGTTTTAGATTTGTGACCAAAACAGTGTTGATAACACACCAGTGTTTCAGCTATTGCTGACCAGTGCATGTACAGCATCACGGCCTTCTCTGTTTCTGACTCTGCCCCATCAGTAAACAGGGAAGTTGGGAGGGGACACAGCTGGGAGAGCTGACCCAAGCTGATGAGATATTCCATACCATGTAACATCGTGCTCAGCAATAAGATTCTTGCCTCCATCCCACTGAGGGGTGAGAGTGAGCCAGCAGCTGGTGGGTGCTTAGTTGCTCTCTGGGACCAGCCCACCACAGATTGATATAATAATACTGGCCAAAATTGTAAGTTAATTGTAAAATAGTTGTTAAATTTTCACTGACAGTGACAGCTATGGTGTTGGTTACAACCAGGAGATTGATCTGTTGTCTCTTTTGTTCTTTATATATACAATCTTTATGGGTTTAGAAGACATACGGTTTTGGTTTATTCTCTGAAAATCTGGTCTTTAGGTTATCATCAAGAATATGGGTTGGAATCTCATCTCTCCTCTTGTTAGATGTATTTTCATGTATAAACAAGAAGATGATAAGCGAGAACACTGCCTGAGGATACTAGATCAGTTGGCACAGGTATGGTTTTGAAATATAATACAATAATAGTAGGAAAGAGAGAGGTCGTAATTTCCTCCCCGGTTTCCAAAGAAAACAAGGCATGAATATTTCTGGGTTCTTCTTATTTCCCATAACGTTTAAACTCATGGGCCAGTTTCATCTGAAGCAGACACAGGCTTAGTGTTCTCAGAGATAATTAACGTCTTACACATCTGAAATTAGTAACTGGGTAAAACAGTGACAAAGCATTACCCAGAAGAAGGCAGCAGATAGCACTCAAAATTTTTGATAGCCAACTGCTGCAGTCAGAGCAGCCACAGCAAAACTGCCACTTACCTACTAGAGATACAGTATTGTTGTCCCTGAAATGTGAGATATTTCACCCAGTGTGCAAAGCCAAAAGACACAGAAGATGGAGGGATTTGATTTAGTTACACTTCTGCACAGAAAGAAGGCTGGATCATTAATCCACAAAGCTAGCACACCAAAGGCCAAATATACAAATGTATTTATACAATTCTGTTCAAACAATATTTGCATAATGGATCTACATCAGTACTTGGATAAGCTGCTCTTGGCAGCTTATTCTCTCACCTCGATTTAAAGGTACAGTGTATTCAGAGTTCATGGTGCATGTTCAGTGGGTAGGGCTCTCTGCTTGGAGGTGGGCAGCCTCAGCTTCAGAGGTGTGGTTTTCACATCATAATGAGTTAAACTCATCTAAAGGACACGATTTTAGCTGAGTTAGCTAACTTGAGTTCCTCTCTTGCAGCTGTGCAATCCAAAGGAACTGTTTTTGGGTTTACTTGAGCAAATTGAGCAGACCTCTGGAGATCAAGTGTGTCAGACTGTCATGTTATTGCTTCAGCCTTTGCAGACAGGTAAGACTCAGCTTATCGTACAATTTCTGAATTAGATTATTTTCTCATTTATTTATCAACTTAGTTTAGCTTTTGCTGGAATGGTTTCAGAATATACCTGTTCTGACAAGCTTTACAGTCTTATGTTCTACAAAATAACACAAGGTATAACTTTCATGCTTATATTGGCCTGCTAGAAAAAGATTTTAGATGGCATTAATACCATCAGTTGAAAAAGCAATATTCAGCTATTTCTTATCAGTTACAAGAATGTGGTGTAAAGCACTCATACTGTTGTTACAGAAATAGAGAATTAAATGGATTTATGAAATTCTTCATTATTTAACTTTTATACAGTTTCATATTTTTATAATACAAACCTTTCATTTCAGTTGAAGTATGCTGAAATACTTGATTGGTGAGGGGGAAGCATTATTCTGGCTTACATATGAAAATTAAAAAGATTGGGTTTGGACACCCTCTACATAGGCAGCAAGTGGTAGTTTCTGTTTTGATATGTGAGATGAAACCGAGTGTTGTGTATAAAGCTGAATTCTGACTGTAGCAATCTCTGAGAATTTAACAAGAGGCATACGTGATTTTTTGGATAGCCAATCTGCAGTTAGCATGCACTGAGTCCAGTTAAAATGGAGAGCCTCAGGTGCTGCTTCCTCAGTCTGGGAGTGCCTCTGTTGGTTCTGCCATGGGGTGAAGACCAGTTCTAAGCAGAAGAGCTGGGCACTTTGTTTTTCTGTGTCTCTGGTTTTGCCAAGCACAAAAGCAGGCAAGTAATAAATGCCTTTTCTAGGTCAGATAAATGGAGTATTATTTCAGTTAGCCCAGTTCTAGAAAGGCAGATTTTTTTTCAGTCCTCATCAGGGTGCTATGGAGAAAGGAAGAACATTGAAATGTGTGATGGCTTTAACATTTGTTATTTGCAAATACATGGTCATGTTAACTACAGCACATTAAACTTGCTGATGATG